ATGATATTCTTTTCAAAATTTCAGCCTCGGGTTTATTCTGAAAAAATTCAGTTTCAGCATCGATATTGTTATAAAATGTATTTTTATTTAAAAAAAAAGGGTGTGTGGACAATTCGCGTCGCAAGCTAGGGAAAAAAGGAAATAGGAAAATAAACTTCTCATTGTGATCACGGTACTCTCTTTTCAGTACCGCAGGGGATCTGGGATCGGGAGAGTGTTTCACGCAACAAGTGTGTTGCGTAACAGTTTTTCGTTACTAAGAAATTGAATTCCGAGAAGTTTGCTGTTCGACGTGTCCTTCGGGCTGCAGCTGAGCTTTGTATCAAGGAAGTAACTTCTTACGTTTTATATGTAAACTTCTTGAAAGTAAAAGCGGGATAAAGATGGAAAGGAGGTTAACGAGGTTTCATCTTTTTAACTGTGATAATACGTACAACTTGAATTCAGTTGAAGCTTTACTGCTCGAAATGGAGGATAAACTCAATTTAAAGATTGCAGTTGAAAAGCATTATTTTCACCTGCATCAGATGACGGAGATATGTGAAACTGCCATCCCTAAACTACTGATGGATGTTGCCATTTTTGTCGTTCATGCTCACGAATCTCGGCTGTTCATCAACGAGGACAACGCTGGAATTGGTTACGCGAGATTCTACAGAGCATTGCTGCAGACCACAGGTAAGTCTTCGTAAGATAATGAATAAGAATAAGGAAAAACTGAAATAAATGTTTTGATCAATGTTTTCTTCGTAAAATCACTTCGTGGAAAAATGGAAAACGTTGCGTTATTGACGTTTTTCGGCTTTAGTTTCTTAAATATGGAATAATGCAAATTCCAGGGCAACCTTAAAATATGGAATCCGGAATCCGGACTCCGGACTCCGGAGTCCGAAATATAGATATTATGAATGCCTAATAAATAAATATAGGGCAAAATTATTTTGTTGTTACTTATTTTCTTTGCTGTACTTCAACCTAAAATTGTAAACTGGATAAAGCTATCCATTGGGTAAATCACTATCCTATCACTATCACTGTAAAGGTTAGTGATTTTTCGGGTGGATAGAGTTACCCATAACTTGCGAACAGACTGGATTGTCTGTCTCTAGTGTCCGAGCATGCTATAGCGTCTAGTGTCCTATTTGCGTTGGCATGTGAGCGAGTGCCTCCTCGCGGCTTCGCAACTCCCGCCCGCGGCCCAAACATGAGAGCCCGCTCGCTGGCACGCAGGCCAAATTACCCATCTTTTGTTTAACCTGGCCCTGGTAAGAGCGCGGTTCTTGTATAGATCAAAATTGCTCTGAGAAGACTGGTGAGTAGCACACTAGCAGCAAGCTATTGCGAAGAGTTTCTGACAGTCTTTTAGCATCTTTTACCAACATGTGGTCCAATCCGTTCGCAAGCGAGAAGCACACGGAAATAAGTGTGCAACATTTCTATAAATTGTTTTGATACGATGGCCGGCGAGAATATCTAGTGGTGATTTGTATGAGTATCAGTGTGGAAATAGTGTTGATCTGGAATTAGTCTCATATCTGTTGGGAAAAAAACAAATTTATTGAGACGAACCAGGTTAGCCTTTGGTCATCGAAAGTGGGGGACTTGATCGTTAATGTACGTGGGGCTGCCACTGACGGAGACCCTGTGCTGACATTTTCTACCTTGTTCAGTATCTACTAGATATAAAGACTAAATTTACATCTCCGGTAAATTGCAGATCACTTATGAAACAAAATAGCAATTACCAGCAAGCTTATTTTAGCCGCTCTCAGGTTGATTAGAATCATATTACGACGCACTTTTAATCATAGCCCTCACTAGAAACAACGGTTGCACGAATTTCAACAGACAGGGATAAGTTTGAAGACTTTTTTTACTTGGCCTCTTATTTTTTCAGGCAAAAGCTATGCAGAGTAATTTTCGCGTATTTGAAGAAGTTGCTTTCTTTGACTTGTAGATTCCGGATTCTGGTTTCTGGTTTCCGACTTCCGGTTTCTGATTTCCGGTTTCCGGCTCCGGATTCCGAATCCCGGTTTGCGGTTTCCTCATTTTAGGGTTACCTCAAATTCCACATATCGAAAGGAATATATTAAAACATGAAAATTAAAATCTATTCATCCTCTTCATTCAATTGTATGTTTTTGTTCTGTATGGCGGCGGAAAGACGTGAAAACGACTGCCATTGCGTTCGATTCACAGCAGACAACCCCCATGCAATTACTGCGCCCTATCAGTATGTATCGCACAAGAGACAAATGACAGGGAGCCCCTATACAACGAGACAGCGGCCATTATGGAAGAGTCTGAGACAACGGAAGCAAGAGTAAAACGACTGTAACAAAAATTGACATCATTCTTAATTTTAGCGGTTCTAAACTGTTAAGACAAACATCATGCAAGGATAAAGTTCATAGAACAATGACAGAACGAGATCGATTTGGAGTGTAACTGACTTTCGCTTTCGCCTACGCCACATGTCAGGTCAAAATGAAGAGTTATACTTCATGATCTTCGTGTTTTCAGAATGTCACGGTGCACGGCTGTACGCGTTTAAGCAGCTAGAAAAGCAAGAGTACGTTTATTTGGGAGGATTAAATTTAGAGAGGTAAATGTAAACCCGAGCCGAAAGCGGAAGTCTGCACTGAAGCCGTTCTCGCATTCTCTCAAACGTTTGTGTGTGTTTACATCAAGATATGTCAACAATGACGTACACGTACAGCTGACTCTCGTATTATTGATTATGTAAAGCCCAAACAATGCAATGAAATGTCATTCCTGTGTTTACAAAGAACGATGCAAAATGTAATATTGCAAGCATAAAGATCAGTTGGCTAAGCTTAAATATAGGACTTATATCTTAGACTATTATTATTTCTTTCAAGGTGTCAGAGTTTTGATAGTGATTGATGGAGACGATAATTACTGAGGAGAGGACGAAGAAGAAGGTACTGTGATCTCGCGTTGGGCTCGAAGGAAAGTGGCTTTACAGTTCAATGAGGAGTGCCTCGATGGAAGAAGAAGTTTCATCTTTTCGTGGAACAAACAACACCGAGAGATCCATGAAGAAGCGCTGTTGCATTACTTTGATCCAAGCAAGAAAGGTCAGAAGTTTGAACATCAACCAAAACCAAAACCATTACACTTGCCAGTACCTAAAATAATTCCGGCACCAGCCGTTGAAAACGATGAAGAGGTATGACAGCCTAAGATAAACTTGACGAGAGAATGGTAGTAACTGGAAAATCGTAAAAGGGATGGGCGCAAAAATGTGCTGGTAGAAAGAGAAATATTGAGAATCAGTCATTCTGTTTGTCAATCATTCAGTTTGT